GGTGTAACCGCCCCCTTAATTCTCTTCTGAGTGGGGCTAATGGGATATAACCACCCCTTAAATCACTCCTGGTGGAGTTGTGATCCCCTCAGATCGTGGTTTTGAAACCGTTCAGCTTGTGTTTGAACGAGTCAAACGTAAAATCCATGTTCTGGTATGAATTCTGCGTTCAAACGCAGTGCCTGGAAGCTCAGACGTAGCAATTGGAAGCTGCGTTGGTTGTTTGTTGGAAGTTGCATTTGGCAGCTTAGAAACTGCGTTTGGCAGCGGATAGAAGCTGCGTTTGGCAGCGGATGGAAGCTGCGTTGGCAATGGATGGAAGCTACGTTGGTAGCTTTCGGAGGCTGCGTTTGCAGCCGAACATGAGCTGCGTTGGCAGCTGGATCTGAGCTGCATTTGCAGCATTTGGAGCTGCGTTTGCGCTGTGTTAGTGCCCGAGCTTGAGTTGCGTCAATGGCTAAAAACATTGTGTCTTGATGCTGGTACGCGGGGAGGACTTCCGCGTCTTGGTTTGAAGAGATCGTCGATTTGTAGTCTCTTTTTGTCAGAACGTTGCAAAGATCGTCATTTTGTAATCTTTGTTTTAGTTCTTTGATATGTGAGAGTCGTCAGATTATAACTCCTGATATTGATTGTGAAGGATGTTGATTAGAGCTTTCATCAGTTGTTGTGAAGGTCGTCAGATTGTAACCTTCATATGTTGATTAGAGCTTTCATCAGTTGTTGTGAAGGTCGTCAGATTGTAACCTTCATCGATTTACATGAAAGTCTTTAAATTATAGCTCATCAGTTGTTGTGAAGGTCGTCAGATTGTAACCTTCATCGATTTACATGAAAGTCTTTAAATTATAGCTTTCTGGAAGCCGTCAAATTGTAACTTCCATCATCGCTGTTTGATGGGGATCAACTATCTGCAGTGATTTTTAGACAGCCTACAGTAATTCGTGAGTACATTAACAACAACATGATCATTGCTAACAATTTACGTCAACAAAACCACCAACCGATCCATGGTGGCTCGATTCTCGGTCATGCAGTGATCAATCGCGATCGAGAAACTGCACATTAGAATTTGGTCATAGATTACTTTGTTGATAATCCACGTTTTGATGAAGATATGTTTTGTCATTGATATCGGATGTCACGAAGTTTGTTCCTTCGTATTGTTGATGCAGTGAAAGATCATGACTATTACTTCCAACAACGAAGTGGTGGACTTGATAGAATTGGATTATCACCGTTACAAAAAGTAACAGCTATTTTTCGTATGTTGGCATACAGTCTACCAGCTGATGCTACGGACGAATATGTTAAAATAGATGAGTCAACAGCTATTAAAAGTATGACAAAATTTTATCGTGCTATGGTAGAGATATTCCTAGAGCGGTATCTACGAACACCTAACGCTAATGATATTGCTAGACTACTCTATATTAGTAAAAAACGTGGTTTTCCAGGAATGTTAAGAAGTTTTGATTGTATGCATTGGAAATGAAAAAATTATCCAACGGTATGGTCCGGGCAATACACAAGACGTAGCGGGTCACCAACTATTATCCTTGAAGTAGTAGCAGATTATGATCTTTGGATATTACACACATATTTTGGTATGCCAGGCACCAATAATGATATCAATGTGCTGGAGTCATCTAATCTTTTCTCTAACCTAGCTCAAGGTATTGCTCCTCCCGCTCACTATGTTATTCAAGGAAAAGAGTATAATATGAGTTATTATTTAGCTAATGGTATATGTTCAAAATGTGCTAATATTGTACAAACAATCCAACAGCCACAAGGTAGGAAGAAAAAATATTTTGCCATGAAACATGAAGCATGTAGAAAAGATGTAGAACGTACATTTGGAATTCTCCAATCACGATTTGCAATTGTGATCTTTATGCACCAATTCAAGAAGTGTGGGAAACACCAACACCAGAAGTTGACATTGTAGCAGATGAAACTACTAGATTTAATCAATTTATTACACGTTATAGACAAATCAAGGATAAAGATGCACATATTGCGCTTCGTAATGCATTGATAGATCATCTATGGGAGGAATACACTAATTCAGATAGTTAAGTATATATTAAATTTGTAATTTTAACATTGTTATTAATGTTTAATTATTTTCTTGTATTTTATTTTCTGTTGTGTTCTTAAATGTAATATTTTGGCAATATCAATAATAAAAATATAATATTTTAGCAATCAAGTTATTTTAATTAATAAAATATATTTTATCGTTTTATTAGTTTAATTTTTTAAATAATAAATCATTTTGTTTAAAAAATATGTGAAAAAATTAAAATTTGAAATGTGGGGTTAATTGTTGAAATAGTTAAAAATATAGGGAAAATAATAATATAAAAGTAGATAAAAAGAAATATACTGAGAATATTTTTTTTTGATATAAAAAATGGTGCAGTGAGTTGAAGATGAATTACTGTTTGATGTGACTTTTGCATCATTTTGATGCAAAATTTGTATTATTTTGATGCGATGAGTTGGAGATGACCTAAGCACAAAACTAAGTGATGTCCTAATAAACCAAACCCTAATTCTAACAATCAGCAGCCACAGATTCAAAGCCTAATTCTAATACAATAATAAAAAACAATTAAAAACCCTAGACGACGAGATCTAGGGAGAAGAGACACAAACCATCGACGGCGGCGCCGTTGTCGTTCTTAGGCCTCTTGGCCTCGGATTCACTGAAGAGCTTGGCGGCGATCTCTTGCGCTTTGAGCTTTGCGAGCTGGATCCCATCGAGAGCGGGAGCGATGTTGTTGTACGACGGCGGAGGAGGAAAGGGATTGTCGAGCTTTCAGAGTCCAATTGTCTTTCTACTAGCGCAACTTTAGTTGAAGTTTCAAAAGCAGGGGCTTGCGGTTTGTCAAGTGAAGTCAAGGGAAGTAAGATAGTTTGGAAGTGGTATCAAAACTTTACTTGACTTGAATTCCCATGAAGTTTGCGAGGTATAAAGCTTCACGGGACTTGAAGTCCCGTGAAGTTTTGTGCACCGCTAATCAAGCTGATAATCGCGGGCTTAAACTTCACGGGACTTGAAATCCCGTGAAGTTTTGAAATTTTTTTCGCCAAATTCGACCCAGTTTTAGCCACCTGGTTGAAACTGGATCGAATTTGGCAATTAATTTGGAAATGTGTTGTTTTTGACAATTAAGTTTCTAAATGGGTCGAATTTGAAAATTTTCCATTTGTTTAAATTGAACACTGGGTGACTTATTAAATGAGTTCGTTCGATTCTGTGTTATACTTCATTAATAAACTTACTAAATCGGAACAATTGACACGAAAATGTCGTCACTACATTTAGGATTATGAACCTCATTGGACCTGTCTAATGATTCGTTTTGATCCGTGCGGGTGATGAAAGTGGCTTAGATTTTCAACGGCACGAAATTGTATCGTTAGTTAACTAAAATTGTTCTTTGTTCCTGTTTGGTTGTGGGTTCTGCGTGCTAGTAGGATATGAGGTGGGATAGCAGGAAGCGCTTCTAATCAAATTGAAGTCTAAATGTTCTATACTTGGAAATGATCTTAATTCGCGCGCAGAAAAATTGATCGATTCATGGCATTTTCAAGGTTTAATTTTTATCAATGACCTTGAAGAGAGTAAGATGATGAATAAAGAAAGTATGAAGGAAAGAATAGATCTCAAGACTACGTTGTTTCATCACTGAAATTATCTCGGGGCCGAAAACATCACTGAAACAGAACAAGCAACAACGTCCTCAGTTTATCAAGCCAAATGCCTCCGCACCCGCAATCACTGAATGTATCCCCCACGAATCTCAAAAGTGAACAACAGTGGCGCATATATCACAAGCATTTACAGGCATACGAGCCGAGAGACAAAATCTAGCAAGTCAGCTCCCAAGTGAAAATTTGAAAATTCAGTTCCTGTATTTGTTAGAAGCAAACGAAAATGGATAACAACACATACACCGATGCATTATCGACAAGATAGATTCATAGTTTCATACCCAGCTAGCCTCTCGCTTCGCCAGGAAGAAGATTTTCTGTGAGGAGTGATTCATCTGAACAAAAATGAGATTCCCACTCCATTCAATGGCAAAAAGCCAAGTTAATTTCATAAAGGCGCCATAGATTATGTGTAGGGGGCAAATCACATATAAACTAAAGATTCAGAATGCAAGTATACAAGGATAGCATAGCAGCATAAGAACGAAGCATGACTAGAGCCAAAACTTCATACAGCATAAGAAAGTTATCGGTTGAAATTTTGACTCGGTTGCAAGCAACTATGGTTAGTTTTCATAATAAGCAAATGTTAGCTGCCAATCTTAGGCAAACTTACACTCACAAACTACATCATAGAAAACAACTTCAGAAATCGATAAAGGCAGAAAAAGAAGAGAACATGGACATTAGAAACTGGAAGATAAGAAATCAGATTGAGAACTGGAGAAAGTCACAGAACACCACACTCAAGAATTTGCATTCAATATTCAAACTCAGATTGACCCTTTCACAACCCACCGAAACTTTTCTAATTTCCTTGAAACGGACAAAGTAAAAATGTCTTTAAAAAAAGGAGATCATTCCATTGAGTGCTTACACTGATACTATCATACGCAAAATGTGGCCAATGCTAACCTTTACTTCAAATAGAAATAAGAATCATCTCTGTAAAAGCTCAATTCCAGACTGTGAAACAACTTCAGAGAGCCCAAAACCACCAATGCCAGGCTACTAACCAATAATTGCATGAATTTAAGTTGTATTACATCTAACTTCAAAACTATACAAGAGCAATAAACAATAATCTTCAATAAACAACTGGAACTCCAAGTTATAGTCCTATGTTACTGTACTAAAGATAAACTGGGAAAGGTTACTAGCATTGCACCAAATAGAAGATACCAGTCCAAAAGTAATATTTGATTAACCAAGTTAAAAACATCATTGCAGAGAAGGCGGGCATCAATCATAAGTTACTTCAACAGACACAAACATTAAAAAGAACAAAAATGAAACTTTACCATACTGCACCTATATGAGAAAATAGGTGTTAATAAATTTATGGATATGATGAAGAGGATTATCAAAGTTGTTGACATTCAAGACAAATTCCTCAAGATCCTATTACAATAAATAGTTTGAACCAATGGTTTCGAAAGCATATGCATGTACAGTGTCCATGTCTGCCATCAGTAACCAAATATCTTGGATGGCTTCTTAGTATGATTACCAACTCCAAAGTTTTGGACCAGGAACATATTGATTAATGAAGTTAAAAAACCAAACCGTGTTCTGAACTTCGTTTCCTGAGTAAATATGAGCAAGGCTACATGCAATAAAAAGTGTTTCCGAATTAAGCCGCCGCCTGCTGGTCATGGGGAGCAAAGCCAACCTGATGGTCTTCTGCTGCAAAACCAACCTGTCTCTCCTGCTGTTGGCCCTGTGGAGCAAAACTGTTGTTCTGTTGGTCCTGCGGAGCAAAACTGTTATGTTGGGCCTGTTGAGAAAAACCATTCTCTTGGGCCTGTGGAGCAAAACTGTTCCGTTGGTCCTGTGGAGAAAAACTATCATGTTGGGCCTGCGGAGAAAAACAATTTTGTTGGGCCTGTGGATCGAAACTGTTGCGTGGGCCCTGTGAAGCAAAACTGCTCTGTTGGTCCTGTGGAGCAAAACTGTTATGTTGGGCTTGTGGGGCAAAACCACCAGTTTGGTCTCGAGGAGTAAAACCGTTATTATTATGTTGGCCCCATGGAGCATAACCAGCGTGTGGAGCATAACCTTTCTGTTGGGCCTGAGGAGCAAAACCATTCTGCTGGCCCTGCGGAGCAAAGCCGTTTTGTTGGCCCTGCGGAGCGAAATCGATCTGTTGGCCCTGAGGAGCAAAGCCGTTCTGTTGGCCCTGAGGAGCAAAGCCGTTCTGTTGGCCCTGCGGAGCGAAACCGATCTGATGGCCCTGAGGAGCGAAGCCGTTCTGTTGGCCATGAGGAGCGAAGCCGTTCTGTTGACCCTGAGGAGCGAAGCCGTTCTGTTGGCCCTGAGGAACAAAGCCGTTAGGTTGCACCTGTGGACCAAAGCCTACACGTTGGCCCGGTAGAGGTGGAGCAAAACCACCTTGTCGGGTGTGTTGCGGAAAACTACCCTGTTGGGCCCGTGGAACAAAACCATTCTGTTGGGGCTGTTGAGCAATACCAGAATGTTGTGCAGGTATCCCGTGATTAGCATGTTTGGCCGGTTGAGCAAAACTAGCCTGTCGAGCTGACAAAGACAGCGCTTCAAAATCTACACTCCTTCCTGCTTTCTCAAAGTTCTCTGTAACAACCCCGCGGAATTGAGACGAAAGGGTAAGCCCCCTCTTAAACATCTCTTTCACAAGATCCAAAGCTCTGTCAAAGTCGCCATTAGTACACAATCCACTGATCAAAGTCTCAAAAGTCAACGTGTCTGGTTTTGGCTTCAGATCTTGCTTCAATCCCGGCTTCTGTTCTTTCTCCATCATCTTGCCAAAAATCTCCATAGCTTGAGAGATATATCCAGCCTTCACCAAACCATCAAATGTTTTGTTATAGAGCTTCAGGTCAAACTTCACTGCATTGAAGCCCTCATCATCGGTGTTGATCATCTTGTCGAAGTATTTCAAGGCATCATCCACTCTCCCTTCTTTGAAACATGCATCAACCAAGAAGTCATAGGTAACTACATCGGGGTATACTGACCTTTTGGGCATCTCATCAAACAGCTTCTCTGCCTCCGAGACCACCCCATTCTCGCACAACTTTCCAATTATATTGTTAAAGCAACCAACATCCATATGCAGGGGCTTTCTACCAGTTCTGTGGAAAACCTCAATCGCCTCATCAAACTTCTGCAAATCGAATTTCCGATTCACCATAATATTATATGTTTCAGTATTAAGAGCCAAATAAGCTGGATGATTATGTCTATCAAGCATATTCTGAAATAGCTTGTCGGCTTCTTTATCCTTATCATGCTTCAATAGAGTAGTAAGTAATACATTGCAAGTGGCAGGGGCCATATTGAACTGTCGGTCAATGAGCGATTGGTAATTTTCCATTGCCTCCTTGTCCTTTCCTTGCTTCCAATAAGCCTCCATAAATGTTGCATGGACAACCCCATCATATACCAAGCATCGTTCTTTAAGCTCATCAAAAAGCTCATATGCCTTCGCCATATTGTCCCTATCAATGAACCCTTGCATGAGTATGTTATACACCAAGGAATCAGCCCCATGTCCTCGGTTAAGCATTTCTCTTAGGAGATCCATTGCTTCTTGAATTCTGTCAGCATCAACTAAACCTTTGGTGAGGTGGCGGTATGTTACAGGGGATGGAGAAAACGGTGCATTCTCAAGAATATGTCGATAAACATCCAAGCCAACATCTACCCGACCTGCATCACATTGCAAATTGATTAGAACACTGCAAAAGAGAACTTCTTAAGTGGGATAGATTGCTCGAATAAGGTTTTCAAATGAACGCTTATCACAAAGATAATACCCGGTAAGCTCACAAGTTCTCATGGAAAAAACATGTCTCAGTACACCAATTTGGGTTTTACAAACAATATTAAAATAAAAGTACATTATAATATCCGGGTCATATATTTCTTACTCTAAATGCAAAATTAAAATCTGAAGCTACATTATTCAGTTTAAGAGAATGCAAAACCAAACTCTGAAACCATGTTATTCAATTTAAGATAAAAGTGCAAAAGATAATTTTAAATACTGCTGAATGTTTTCACAAGCCCATAAAGATGCCACGATGCCTGAATTCCCTGCAAAACATTCCAGAACTACTAACGGAATCACCTTTAAAAGAACAACTAGAATGATAAAGGGCTGCATTAACACTCCACTGGAAAGAGGGTTATTACAATTCATATTTAAAAGTTAACAAATAACTAAAAAGAAACAACTTGAAGCCAGCCTAATACAAACACACCATCATAGAATTTGTCCATAGCCTAACTAACATTTTGGCAATCAACAGAGGATAAAAATCAAATTAAAATTTTTTACTTTTGCGAGTAAATCAATCGACTCTAAATAAATCCATCAGAATTCATCAACTGTTTCACCAAAAAAAAAACACATCTCAAAGTCAGATCTTCAGATTTTAGTATTTCCCCCCCAAAAAAAGAGATGACAATAAGAGCAGATGAAAGCCCATATACAAAACATAACATAATCCAGAAGGGTTACTCGCCCCAGTAAATCAACCAGTTCTATAGCAAGCTCCAGGCAAACTAAAGAATAAGTATAAGCTGCTTCAACAATTAACACAATTGTAATAAATTCATTTTGACAATTTAATACCCCATACTTTCCATACTGATTTTAATTTGACAATTTGACACCCCAAAGCCCGAACATTTTCTCACTTCCCCCAAAAACAAAAAGAAAAAAAAGAAAAAATTGAAATTTGGAAAGAAAAATTATTTTTTTTCCATTCACTTCTCTATGTTATCCTCGAATAACTAAGCAAATTTCATAAACAAACCAAGAAGATAATTTACCTGCATCACAATGCGAATTTATCAATATGTTGTAGCTAACAACATTCGGCGAACGATATTCGACTGCCGATAAAAGAACTCAAACAGGGCGCGAGACGTCACTCAACCCTCTTCGCCCTCAGCATCGCCGCCATAACAGCATACAAGTGAACACGGTCGGCCGGATCCTCGAGAACACCGCATGCCTCGCCGACGCCGAGCCCTGATCGAGATTCCCCGCACCTAATCAGGGACTGAACCTGGTTGTGCAGGCTCAGGCGCGGGCCACAGCGGCTGACGGTGGAGTCCGGGAGGCGAGGGGCGTTGGGGTCCGGCGGCGGTCGAGGGGCGGAGGGATCTCTCCGCGAGGGCGTGGAGAGGGGGCTCGATGCGGAGGCGGCGCTTGCGTCGGCGGCGCCTCGGCGGCGGCCTCCTCGGCGGAGGAGAAAGCGACCGGGCCGCCATCGGCAGACGGAACGATGCCGGCCGCGCGCGCGTCTTGCGCGGCCGAGATGGATGGCGGAGGAGCGGAGAGAGCGGAGGAGGAGGCGGGAGAGCGACATGGCGATGGGCTAGGGTTTTAGCTAGGGTTCGGTTGGAGAGAGGGGAGTGACGAAAAATGGTTTTGGGGTAACAAAAGGGATTTTATGTTGGCAGGGGCTGGGCTGGGCTGGATTGGGCCCAGTATATTTAATGTCTAAGGCCTATATTTTATTTTGCTTCTTTACTTCGGTTCTGTTTCTCAGTGCACAGGAGGCCATTCCTGTGCATTTTTATTAGGTTTTTTCTTTTTCATGGAAACCACCTATTTAAAATAGGAAATAGGGTAATTCTACAAAAACCATCTTTAATTGTTAATTTATACATAAGCTATTTTTAACATGGGTTTGTATTGCAGTCAACCACCGGCCGGTTAAGTTTTTCATTAAGGGGCTGTTTGGTTCGTTTCCTTGATATAGAGAAATGCAATTCCATGTAAAGAAACACAAGTTTTGAGTTTTCCAAACTTTTTCAAGAAATAGATTGTTTTGCTTTGGTTCGCACATAAAAAATGATGGAAAACCAATGTATTTATTTTTTTTTTGTTTGGTTCGCATAGAAAAAAAAGGAAAACTTTTGTAAACAAAGCAGAGAATGAAAAAAAATCTGACGTGACAGAGTTTTCATCAATTTCACTTGGTTGGGGAAGGAAATCGGAGAGGGAAAAAAATCTTAGTTGGCGGCGATTTCAGCAGAGTTTTCCCTCTTCCATTCGAGCGAACCAAAGCGGCACAAAGAAATGGACGGAAACAAAAAAAGCTGACGTGGAGGACTAAAAATCTGACGTGGAGGGGTTTTCTGAGTTTTCCACCCCTTATAATAGCGAACCAAACAGCCCCTAAGAAACCAAAATAATCCTAAAAACATCACGTTCAAAATACGTGATTTGTATCCTAACTGGATCTAAGCGTTAACAAAATCAGTCGCATGACGAGATTGTGAGTTTTTTAAAGATACATTTAGATTTTTAGTGAAAATTTTAACGGAAAGGTAATTGATTGCTGCACCAACATACTTTAAAAGTGATTTGTATATAAATTGAAGAAGATGGTTTATGGAGGATTCTCCGTGGTTTCCGCGGAAAAAAAAAATCATATTTATTATACACGAGAAGCCAGTTAAGTTATTTCAGTTTCAAACATTTTACAATTAAATTGAACAAAGTTTTCCTAAACCGGAACCTAACCGCCAAATTTTAGTCGGTTCGGTTGGTTTGGTCGGTTTGCACCACCCCTAGTCGGCCAGGTTATCAGTTGCAGATAAGAAAAGAGTTAAAGTTGAGCAATGATGGTTTTGGATATTCAAATATCTATCTGTTGAAATAGATGCTAAGTATTCCAATAAAATTTAAGGACAGATTTCCGATCACGGTGAAAACAAAAAAGATAGTACGGGATCTACAACCTACCTTACACAAAATGACGACACGTCATAAAGTTAGGAGCAGAATAAGCGCATCAAAGAAATATTCCTTCTTTCTCCCCTCTTTCCGTTCTTTGCATCAACTCTTCTTGTATTCCCAAAAATAGGCGCACACAAACAAAGAAAATTTCAAAAGAAAAGATATCAACGGCTAGCAATTACTCCGTCCTCTTAGCCAAGCATTTCACCCTTTAAACCCGCTCAAAATCACCTTCTGTTAAGCACCAAACTCCCTTCTCAACCGCAAACCCCACCCAATTTTCTGAAGGCTCTAAATCCACACCAAGCCCTACGGGACAAACTCCTCTTATATCAACAGGCGCATTCTCACAAGGGTGGGAAAAAGGACCAACACAAACAAGAAAAACATGGCTAAGCTTCTAGTCACCCTCTGCCTCCTCTCCTCCGTCGCCGTCCTCAGCCTCGTCGCCGCAGAGACGTTCACCATCCAGGGCCGTGTCTACTGCGACACTTGCCGTGCTGGCTTCGAGACCAGTGCTACCGAGTACATGGAAGGTATTTTGATCCAAATCCAAATCCAAATCCAAATCCAAATAATCCGACATGCCCGAATAACAAAATACGTGCCTTTTTTCGGATACTAATATGGGGAATAAATGCATTTTATATAGATTAAAAGTCTATCAGAATTATCTAAAAATTATAATCTTGTAGTATATGTAACCGGTTTGCTTTTGTATAAATTCTCCAGTAATCCTACCCTCCAGTAATCAGCATTTTCTTCCTTGTTGGGAATAAATGTCTGTCTATTTTCTTACTCGTAGGCGCCAAGGTGAAGGTCGAATGCAAGAACTACACTACCCGCGAGGTGACGCAGAAGGCGAGTGGTGAGACGGACGCGTCCGGGACCTACAACATTCCGATCACGCACACCCACGAGTCGGAGACCTGCGAGGTAGCGCTGGTGGAGAGCTCGCGCAAGGACTGCGACGAGATCAAGCCCGACCGCGCCATGGCCCGCGTCGTCCTCGCTAACGACACCGGGATCAGCACCGGCATCCGCTACGCCAACTCCCTCGGCTTCCTCAAGAAGGAGCCCCTCCCCGCCTGCGGCGACCTCCTCCAATCGTACGCCCTATCCGACGATCTTGACTAAGCTCGGAGGCATTAATTAATGGTTTCTAATAAAAGTTTGTCCACGGATGCGTGTACGATCGTGGCTCTAGATCTTATCTTACTTCTTTTCAACAGAAAATGCTGATTTATGTTTTCTTATGCTTGAAATGAACGAAACAACTTGAATAAGGAAAATGTCAAATTCAACTGATTGTATGAATGATGACGTTTATTCACATTAATCGTGTCCAAAGAGAGCGTTTGGTTCGGTGTTAATGCAGGGATTGCGAATGCATTTTGCATTGTTGCATAAATCCCGACATTTTGCATCCTAGTGCCACTGCTTGTTTCGTCGCAACAATTGAACACAGTAGCAGAAAGACTCACAGTTGCACCCAACAAGTTGCACTGATTAGCTCATAAACAGGGTGGATAAGTGTCAGCTTATAATAAAGCTTACCCAGATCAACATTTTGTTTCATCAGTACTCAATGTAATTCCCATCCATGTAATAAATGACTGATACATTCCAGATGCTCGAAGAGGACAAGGAATAGAAATAAGATAGGCAAAAACACCAAGTTAATCAAATAAATGAAGAGCTCTATTCACATCAACTGTGTCAAAACACGGTACAAAGAATACAAAACTATCTATGTAGCCAGGACCTAGAGAAGAAAAGAAAGCAGCACCTCAAAAATCCAGCACTGTTGAGCTCATATTCAGTAGAGGCTCCAAGGCACTAGGAGCAAACTTCCTCGCAAACAGGTAACAAAGCGAAGTGGGCTTGTTGTTGTAAGTGCAGGCAGTCCCATTGTTTCTGATAGATTGAATGAATCCCTTAGTGATACTCTCTCTCCCATATGTCGCAGGGTGGGGCCCACCTCTCGACCAGTCGACCCAAGTCACGCTCCGATTCGCATTCAAGCCACCATGGAACATATTCAAGTAAGTGGGGATATAATGCTCGTCGGGGTAACAAGAGGGCTTGCAATATTTCCTGAAGAGAGAGTAGTACTTTGAGTCTGAGACTACTTCGATGGCGAGCTCACGGTTGAGCTCGAACCATTCAGACCCTTTTCTCCATTGGGTGAGAGTGATATAAGGTCGCATGCGATGACTGTAGCGGCCTCGGCCATGAGGGGAGTCTTCGTCGTAGGATTGGACAAAGCTGTGGGCAGAGTTTATGAGGTACTCATATACTGTAGGGAAGTTGAATACAGGGATGCAGCTCTCCGAGAGAAGAACAAATCGCTCATTGGAGAAATCGAGGAGTGCATTTGCTAAGAGGCGCTTCTCTGCATCGACTAGTGATACCGTTCCCCATTCGACCTCCTAAATGTAAGAGAAAGTAGAAGTTAGAGAGAGGTTTAAAAAAAATTAATTCATGTTTATGGTGGCATTCCTTTTTGCCGCATGTCTGGAATTTTTTCCCCCCCTTCAACTCTTACTAGGTCAAGTTAAGGGAGTCAAATTGGATGTAAACTATAACTGATGGATCAATTGCAATTTTAATTAGGTCATAGAAATTCAAAGAAATGGCCAAATGGCAGTTAAAGAACTTGTATCAAATTTTAAAATTTGATAGTTATTTTTGACCATAACAAACTTATTTGGTGCTTTCACGCAAAAAGCAAAGTTTAAATGACTGATACGAAGGACGTTCAATGTTCCAAACATTTGTTTGACTTTGAAGAATTATGTAAAAGATACTCTTGCGCAGTTGTAGTAACTCGAATAAAACTAAACAAAGTTTGTAGGATGACCTTGACAATCCAAAGTAAACGTAGCAAAATGATAAAAGATAGTCAACCCGTGAGAAATAAATTGTTATCTAATCCTACAACTAAGTACTAGCATCTTTATCATGCATACACTTCCTCTGCCAACGAAGCCAAGCTAGTCACAGCCCATGACAGCAAGGCATAGCATGGAACTACTCCATTAACATGAGCACAAAGAATGATGCTCACATTAGTAAAATAGCATCCAAATAGCAATCAAAAAACAATTCAGTGAAGCTACAAGATGATCAATCAATCATCAACATAGAGAGCAAATGAAAGTGATCCACTCATACCTCGCTAGGAATCTGCCGGCCGAAGAAAGCCGAATCCTCGGACACATTCATTTTATAATCCGGCAAGCTATGAACATACACCGAAAACAAACCCTCACGCCCTTTGAAAAACCGATCCCACAACAGCGAGAAGGGCAACGGCCCTCTCGTCATGAACATAAACGCCACCTTCGGCACTCTCTCGAACGGGTACTCCTCCTTCTTCGGCACCAAAGACGCCCTCCAAAACAACTCCTCGTCGCTCATCCCGTGCGTCAAATGCACGGGCTTAACGAACCGATCGATGCTCGAGCACTCTTTGTCGCAGTTTGCAGAGTACATCGCTTTCGGGAAGAAGAGGTCGGAGTGAGTGCTGAAGTAGCGAGTGAAATGGGCGCTTATTGATAACCCCAGAACGATCCCCGCCATGAAAATGACCAAAGTGGAGACTGCTTTCATAAGAGATCGGTCTTTCTTCGGTGACGAGGGGAAGTAATCGACGTCTTCCTCCGCCCTAGTTTTGAGAATTGGCTTCATCGCTGATCAAATCTGTTAAAAGATTCGGTTTTTCTACTTAAAGGAGCCAAATCTAAGCGACCCAGATGCTCAAAATCCCTTCTTGATGCTCGAATTTTGAAGCGAGAAGGGATGAAAACGCTGGGGTTACGACGATGATACCGAGGATGGGGATTCGATCTCGGCGAGGGGAATTTAGGGTTTCACGAGGATTGGGAAGGGATCTTAAGCGGAGCGATGATGAGAATAATTAGTAAAAAATAATGGGAAAAGAGGAATAAAATATATAAAAAAAGAGAGACGCGCTTGGAAAAAATCTCCAGTGGCGTCTTTACTCTTTCTTGGTTTGAGAAGAACGGCGCAAGGAGACTGAAGGAAGAAAGAGACTTGAAACTTGAAAAGGAGGACGAAATTGCCAGGCACCCAATTTTACACCCAATGTTGAAAACTTCGGTGGGGCGCTGGGACCCACTTCGGTGGAGAGTGGGCTGCATGTTGAGATTTTGTTTTGTGGTGAATCAATTTTGTCGAGGACAGACGACTCCAGAAAAAATAACACTAGAGGCACACTCTCGGGCACGTCCCCAGATTTTTTAAAAAATCTCATGTGGGGCCCTCTATACTGTAGCAGGTGGGGGGATGTGGTTGGGGATGTGCCTGGGGGTGTGCCCCCGGTGCTCCTCCTCCAGAAAATATTTCAAAAGCGTGTATAAAGGGGCGAATTGCTATGTATAGAAGAGGGATTAATTTTGAATTCAAAATTATGGGAGCAGTTACGGAACAAATTATATGTATGTATGATAATTATTTATCTTGGTCAGATATCTCAAGAAAATTATATGTTGTCTCTTTGTCCTATAATTGGTCCTATTGCTTTTGCCTCGCAAAAAGTACTTTGTGTAGGAGGAAAAAAGATAATTAGCATTATAAATACCTTGTGATTTCCCCTCCACTTATATACCCTCATTTTGTTTTTTGTTTTTTTTTTGGAGCACTTAAATATTCTGAAGTTTTTAAAAAGAGTTTTGAGATATTGGTCCCAAATATCTCATATATTTGAACTAAGTCCCTCAAAATGCTTAATTGTTTGAAATCAGCCCCCTTTGGCTTAATTTTGTTTGTCTAATCTATTTATTTAATATTATTAGAAAAGTGTGTTTGTATGTTAAAACTTTTTTTCGAAAACACCCTCAAGAACAGATACATGCATGCATAAAACGCATGCATACATACATGAAAACACATATATGCATACGTAAAGACATATATATCTTACTCCATTATTTATTAGCTTTTAATTGTATCATTATATATATTTAATAACATCCAATTAAACCTTACAACTTTCTCTTCACAGTCACTAGGTGGAATGCATGTGCACTGCACGTGGTCAGATAATTTAGTTATTTACTTTAAGTTTATTTATTTACCACAACATGATTGCAAAAAACTTTTTAATTATCATAATATATTAAATTATTAACTTTTTTTAGATATTTCCATGTGTGGCTTTAACATTTTGTCTTCCAAAGAAATAGTTACATTTAAAGCCTTAAAATATTAATAATTTAAGATTGATTAGTAATTTGAATGTATAATTTCTAAATATTAATGACGTAAGGGACCAATGCTAAAAAACCTATAATTATTAATGAAAAATAAGTCTTGAATTCATCAAAGAAAAATAGTAGGTTTTATCTAGTCATTAAGGATTTTGTTCAGTTATAAAAAATCACTTCCACTTGTTGTGTACTTCCGTTGTTATTTATCCGGCGACTAAGCATTATAGATATTCAAGAAAAATTTTCTACAATTTTCTAAAAGAATGTGCAAATTCAACCAAGAAAGAAAATATAAACTATTTGATCAATTCCAAAATATGTCGTTGTACTCTTTTTACATCTTCCCAATTACTAATTGATTTGTCAAAATGATTACTCTCTAGTTTTAAAAAATTATAAAATATAGTCTAAGAATGATTTATACATATTATGCATTCATATTGATTGTATTTTAATAAAATAATTCATATATATCCAATAAGAATGATTTATACATATTATGCATTCATATTGATTGTATTTTAATAAAATAATTCATATATATCCAATATCAAACAACATCCAAAGGTTTAGCTTAAGAAATTAAAAGAATATAATATCTACAACAATATTCATATCTAAGCTGTGAGCTTCATAAACTTATAAGAAGGCGAGTAATATAAAATAACAACTTAATTTATTTTATCAAATAATTTATTACAAATCATAAAAATTAAGGGGAATCAGAAGGATCACATATTCATCCCAAATAAATATTAAATTTCTCTTAGAGATTCTTATAGCAAAAGATTTTCAGAGTTAATGTGCAGGATAATTTAAGGACAAATAACCCAAACCAGTCCATTGAGTGATAGACTTGCTATAAACTCCACTCGTATAAAATTAATGTCACATGGGCCTTAAGTTGTGCTTTTATTTAAAGTTAATTTTAGAAAACTCTCACTCAACTATTGGAGGCATGTCAACCCACTTAGCCCCCTTCTCTCTCCCCCCATTATTTAAAACTGAGTAAATCTCCGTTAAGTTTTGGGTATTTTGTAGGTAATTAATTTATCTCACCTTAAAAAAATTGATTTTTTGTGAACTTTTCTCACCTAAACTTAACCTCTCAAAACTAATATCATTATGTCTTATCTATTATGTGACAAGTATTTGACTTGGAAAGACCAAAATATTCATCAACTATAAAAGAATTACCTTGATTTTTGCCGAATGAAAGAAAAATAGGTGATATAGAGGAAAAAGAATTGTAAATTGGTTATGGTCTTTTTATTATCAGTTTAGGGTCTTATTTTTTATTAAAATTGATTTCTTTAATATAGTATTTTGTCCAAATCACATATTGAGGTAACTACATTAAGAGGGTTTGTTGATAGAAGTGTAAAAGATTAGGGGAGTTATTATGAGACACGCTATAGTTGAGAGGTATTTTCTAAAATTATACCGAAATTGAGAGGGGTTATTTATAACACCTCCCAGAAATAAGGGGCTTTTGTTAAATTGAATTAGTTGAGTGGGTTTCTAAGACAGTCTCCATAGTTGAGAGGGTTTTTTAAAAATTAACTCCTCTTTTAAATATGACTTATTTATAATTTTTCTATTAAAACTTTAATAATTTAATATTAGACCTAAAATTATGAGATTTTTTAAACTTTTGAGGGACTATCGAACATTTAAAGTCAAGGAACTAATATCTAAATAACATTTACCTATTTGCTCTTATAGGCATTATATTAAATATTGGTGGATATGTTGCTATATAAGCTAATATATTGAGTTAAAGACTTTATCTCGATAATGTTTTATACTATTTTCTTTTGTTTGGTAATTTTTTTTAGTATCGATCGCTATCAAAAATAGGGCCGATATATCCCTTTGAATATATCGAGAAAATCGTGTCATTTTTAATTTGATAGTGGGTTCGGGTTTGGATCGTGTTTGGGAAACAAAATCAGAGCCCTCAAAACACACAAAGACCACAATTCTTCTCCCAAATTTCTCCACTCTTGGCTCTCCCAAATCTTATGCATATATCTTGATACAAATTCTTATGTTTAAAATTTATTAATATGTTAGATTACATATTACATATCATGTTATGTATGAATATTATCTCATATGACACCCAGGATTATATACATATCCTTGATTTTTACAATCCGATATCGTGGATTTTATTTGTTTAATATTTATCCGATGTTCAACACTTTGTAGTAGTCATTCAAAAATCTCTTCTGAAGTTTTCTAAGCGAATTATATAATTTTAGGAAATAATTCAAAATCTTGAGACTCATTCAAAATATGATGCTTTAATTTTTTCACATCTCCTTTATTACATAAATATAAGCTATGCATGTGGCCTCATATTGTATGATGAATGTTATTTATCAATGAAATTATATACTATTGTTTGTAGATAACAAATGTTTCAAATCTTTTATACGCTTAACTGAACTTATATACCTTATAATTTACCAAAATTATACTATATATACCTTCACTTGTATCTTGCTATACTTTTTTTTAAAAATTTAAGATAGTGTATCTTGCTGCACTTAAATATCCTAATGTTTTCTAAAATTTTATGCTTGTACCTTTTGTCTTGTTACCTAAACATAAGAATGCTCTTTGTAATTTTCCTATATAAGTGTCATGATATAATTTGAGGACAATTCTATGTTTTTTTATTCTTTCCATAAATACTTTATTAACATGTAATTATCTATTAATATATTATTATACATTACTAATAGTTAATATGATGTAGAGTTTACAATAACATTAGAAGTTTTATGGACCAACTTATACAAATTTAAAGTGACATATAATATAATTAATTAACAATGATAATTAATTTAGTTTAGTTAGTATTAGAATGTAATATCAAAAAAAAAAAAAATAGGGGTAACATAGTCATTGGAAAGTTTTTTCACAACTCTCTCTTTTTAAAGGAGTATGATATGATTATCAATGAGATCATATACTATTGTTTGTAGATAACAAATGTTTCAAATCTTTTATAGGCTTAACTGAACTTATATACCTTATAATTTACCAAAATTATACTTATATAGCTCTACTTGTATCTTGCTACCCTTTTTTTTAATTTAACATAACATATCTTGCTGCACTTAAATATCCTAATATTTTCTAAAATTTTATGCCTGTACCTTCTGTCCTGTTACTTACACATAAGAATGCTCTTTGTAATTTTCCTATATAAATGTCATGATATAATTTTAGGAGAATTCTATTTTTTTATTTCTTTCCATTAAAACTTTATTAATACGCAATTATCTATTAATATATTATTATACATTACTAATAGTTAATATGATATTGAGTTTTACAATAACGTTGGAAGTTTTAGGGACCAAACTATACAAATTTAAAGTGACAATAATATAATTAATTAACAATGATTATTAATTTAGTTTAGTTAGTATTAGAATGTAATATCAAAAAATTGGTAATATAGTCATTGAAAAGTTTTTCCACAACTCTCTCTTTTAAAGGGAGTATGATATGATATGAAGTATGATATGATATGATTATATAAACATAATATTTGAATCTTAATTTTTTGCCCTCATTTTCCTCCTCTACTACATCATACACATGAGTATTAAGTGCTCAATTTTTAGTCCGTTGAGAATCCTAATCATCATGGTGATGGCTATATAGTCAAAACGTCACTAAAGAATATTTGAACCTTTCTATGTTATAGTATTGGTAATTAGTCATAATTTAAATGGTCAACACAACCCGTTCATTTGTTCAAAATGGCTCAACGTGACAATTAAATACATCAG